ATTGCATCTGTATTTTCATTTCTAGCAAGTACATTATGAATAAATGTGGATCTCACAAGGTGCAGACCTTTCAATTTTTTGTGCTTTATTTGAAATGTTTTCATTGTGAGACAACATTAAAAATAAATACCTATAAACCATCGTGATAAAATTAAATAATATCTTCCCATTGCCTTTTCCCTATGGCTTTGATTTCTTAAAATTCAATTAGACTTATCTGTTAAAATCTTTAAACGCAAAAGACAAAAATAACTTTATAAGAGTCCTCTTTTGAATGTCTTACCTTTTTCACATATACTGCAAATCTCAAATTCTTCATTATGAACTTGCCTGAACTTTATGTATTTTTCATAAGATTGTACTATGAGTCAGTAGTTGTAGAATCACTGTATTCTTTATTATTTAACACTTTGTTACAAAATATGCATGATTCTTATCTACTATGCTTATTTCTATTATGTAATACATTTGTAGCTTTGTAAATTTCTGGCTTCTCCCTTATCTACCTTTCTCAGTTATTTCACAGCTTCCTGATCTGTGCCAAGCAGTAACGCAAGGTACCAGGCTTTATCAATCGAGTAAAAGATTCTTTGCCCTCAAGGGGCTGCCTGGTCAGGAAAGTAGATATTGCAGGAAATACACAGCAGAACCACAAGTACATGTTAAGTGTATTTACAACATGTGCAATGTGTAGTCAGATTGAAGAACCAGGTCAGCCTCAGGGAGGGCAAAAGTTTTACAGAGAAGTGATACTTGAACTAACTTTCAGCACATAGGTTGAAAAGAGGATGCTAGAAGGACATAAAGGCCCTGTACTCTGAACATGCTTGTTAAAGAGTACTGGAGATAACAAATCAGTAACATTTGAAGTAAACAAGTGTTAATATCTTGTCCAGAACACCATTTCCACAGTAGTACTTCTGTATCATTAAAAAGTAAAGTTTTCATTGAATGAGAATATAGATTAAATAGTATATTAAGTTTCTCTGGGTTTCTTGGGATTTATTAATTGTTAATATGTTTTGTACATATTGTACAAATTGAAAAATGAAGGAACTATATGAAGAAAGTCAAATTTACTATAATGCCGCATTTAAAGAAAACCACTGTTAATGGCTTGGTGTAGTTTTTTTTTCTGGACATTCTTTTCCTCAAGCATTTTTCCCTGTATCTGTCTCCTTTTCCTCTCTGAATCAGTACCCAACTACCACACTATCTTAATACATTAAGGGTAAAGTTTTCTTGCAGAGTTCCTATTATATGTAAGAACTGTTCTACATGCCTACAATATAGAAATGAAGCATATATTCATATATTGTCCCATTCAAGAACAGCCCTGATATATGTTTTCCTTTAAAAAAATTTTAGTGTCATTTTAGTATCCAGAATATGAAATCATGACACACATACTCTATAGTGAAGCAAACTAATAGGTATCGTCTCACATTGTTACTTTGTGTGTGTATATATGTGTGCAGAGAGAGAGAGAGAGAGAGAGAGAGAGAGGGAGAGAGGCAGCTAAAATCTATATAATATATAAGAATAGGATGTTACATCACAGTAACATGTTTTATTAAATAATAGTGGTACTGTAGAATTTTCATACTACTTGCTTCTCACTGAAAATCAATATCTTTATCAATAAATTAGATGTTATATCATCATTTTGATCTTTCATATTCTTCTATGTGACTGTACCATGGTTTGTTTAACAAATCCATTTGGCTATTTCCATTTTTAAAATTAAAGCAGCATTTTGATGAACCTCTCATTGAGTTTTGTAGTCTTCATAGTGAGGTGAACAAAAATGTGTTTGTGGTAATAAAACTTAGGAAGCAGGTGATTGGGAAGAGGAAAACTGATGACATAGACTACTGTAAGGACCCTGTTATAAGAAAGGAAAACATTGACTTCTACTGAGAAATCTGCCTGTGGTCATATAAACAAACAGGCAGGTGTGAAAGACATTTTTGATAAAGAACAATAAGGATCAATGGCAGCTTAAAAGTGGTGGACAAGAGGAAATGGTGAAACAAACAAAACTCAATGGTATTTGATTAGCAGATGAGATGTGTTATAAGTATAAACTAATCAAGAGACAAATTGTGCTTAGGTTTTGAAGTTTGAAAGATTTTTCAATATAAAATAGATTGCAATCATAGGCTGGAATAAAGTTAGAATATATATTATCAATGTATAAAACAGAGAGAAATCCATGAGATCTCCCAATGGAAAAATGTAGCAATAATTAAAAGAGCTTAATTTAGAACTTTAGGAGGCAGAAATTTTAGTGTGGATAGAAAGAGAAGCTATAGGAGCTGTGAGAATTTATAAGGTCTTTTGGCCAAAAGAGTTATAGAGAAAAACTTAACTATGATTTCAAGATTCAAAGTCTTAGAAAAGAAAAGGATATTAAACCATCTCTTGGTAATGTTTTGCTATTTAGCAAATCCCAGGTTAATTAATCCAAAAATGTATTTTCAAGTTGCCAGACTGAGGTTTACATTTCTATAATTTTAATTAATTATACAGGGAAAAGTTTATCTAAATATATAAATAACAAATTTACAAAAGAATTTTTGAACTATTATGAATGATAAACTTTTTACAAATTTTAACTGTTCAAGGGTGTGTTTTAATTAGAATGGCCTAATATTAGATCTCCAAATATTCATCATTTTTTCAGAACATACTTTCATTTGACACACTTCTCTCATTAACATTTTACTATTTGTTTCTGTAAACAGAGCCTAAAAATTTGGGGGCCAAAACATAAAATTTAAATTCTTAGTTTCAAAGATGGAGAAATTAATAATCAGCGTGGTTACACGTGGGGAAGGTCATACGACTTGTTCCTGGAAATGATGTGTATTGAATATTTCAAGTAATGACACTTGATTAAATAACCTTTTGATTTATAATTTCATTTAATGCACAGAGATTTATAAAAATTTGGGTATTTCATTTGGTATAGCTTATAGACAGGTTTTCTAATAGAAATAGACTTATGTAATATATAATAAAAGATCATTTTACAAATCATACACCATAGATTTTCTCCTTTTTCTGTCTTGACTTCTATAGTGTCCATGAACTAATGGCTAAGAAATGGTGAAGGATTTTGTCAAATATTCCCACTGGAGTAAGTGGGCATGAGCAAAAGCAAAGAAGCCCAGTGCTAAATCAAAGTTGTCAATTCTAGTCCCCATGGACTCCTGGAGCCTGATTCAGGGATCATGTCTCTACATTGACTGTCCGCTCACTAAATTGTTCTTGGTTTCTGTCATCTCTTATTCTCCATCTTTAAATTTTAATATTAAAAATCTTTCCTTAGTATTATCAAGATAATTAAATGAAAATACAAACTTGCAAACTGTACCTGCACATAGTAAGAATGTAATTGATATTAAATGCTGAGATTCTTGCTATTATTCTGTACCCTTTCTTTGAAGGGTGAGTAAATATTGCACCTCTATTCTAGTTATATTATTACATGATGCTGCTTAGACTTGCATCATTTCTTCATGGTTTACTTAAAATGAAAACAAATTATTTAACTAAATTGCTAAATTTCATGTCAATAAGAACAAGTTAAACAAATTGTTTGGATTTTTTAATGTAACTTTTTAAACATTTTATTAATATCAGTTCCTACAAGGTATATATCTAGTTTCATATTTTCTAAATTCTAAGACGCTTTTATTAACTTGAAGTAAATGAAGGAATTAAATGGAAAATGTAGACCTGAAGATACTTAAATAGCAAGATAAGTCTATAAACACTTTGGACATGAATTTAGTTTCCTCTAGATGTAATAAGTGAAACAACATTTCAAAATCAGTTGAAAAATAATTTTTAGAGTGTGTTTGTGTTTGTATCTTGGAGCTGAAGCATCATAACATGAATTGAGAGAATAAAAATTTCATTTTAATCCATATGCTATCTTGTCTTCAAAAGGAGCATATGACTTTGATCAGAAGGGTAAAATTACTCATATGTTTCTGGCTGTTCTTATTTCTAGCATTCCATTTAGCTCATGCTTTTTTGGTAGATCCTACATTTCATAAATCCATATGAATTCAGGTAAAGTTGCATAAGAAATAAAAATATTCTATTGGAACTTGTGATAAGAAAAAATCTTTGTGTAACATATCCCTCAAAACAACTGCTAATGTTCACACTTTTCACTAAACTCTAATATGAATATATTTTAGCACATTAAAGTAAGTTCCAGTAAAATCACTCTAATTTTCCCCTAAAAGTGCTTAGTACAGTTAGAAATTAGCTTTACTTGAGAAAAATTATGATTCTTATATGCATTAAATTATATTTAACATTTTATTCAAAATTAATTCTATAGAAATAGTGACAACATTGTGGAAAACTATTCACATGACTTCACAATATTTTGAAGTGAAGTCACATAAAATTCAAAGTTGAGAAAGTTAAAAATGCAAAACAGGAGAGTATAATGGATTGCCAGAGTATGACATTAATTAATTGTTCCATTGCATTCCTACTAAGGAGAAATCAGACCCTAGATCTTAGCAATTTGGCAACAATCTTTAAATCACAGTTAAAACTTTTGATTTTATATTCCACATTTCCCATTGACCCTTTCCTGTTGTGTGGCTAAAACAACACATCTAACTCTTACCTCAGTCAACAAGTGTTCTGTGATAGACAGATGCTACAGACCCAGTTACTGGCTGATAATGACAAGTCATTGAATAGATTTTTCTTACAATGAGCATTTGCTTTCCAATTTAGTGTTTTTCTTATTGTAGGAATGTGTATAGGCTTAATTTGGGAATGTTCAGTGGAAATAATGAGTTAAGTGAAACTATGTTCCACTTATTCTCATGGCTCTATATTTTTTTGTCATCTGCATTGTCACAATTCTTCAACCAGCAGAAATTGTTTCCTTATGATTTTCTGTGCCTGAATGTGTCTTACCAGCTTATACTAACCTTGAAAAATTTTCTTTTTCCCATTTCAAGTTCCACCCAATCTGACTGTTCCACAGGAAAAATCACCTTTGGTCACCAGAGAAGGAGACACAATAGAACTACAGTGTCAAGTGACTGGAAAACCTAAACCAATCATCCTTTGGTCTAGAGCAGATAAAGAAGTTGCTATGCCTGATGGGTCAATGCAAATGGAGAGTTATGATGGAACACTGAGGATTGTGAATGTGTCTAGGGAAATGTCAGGAATGTACAGATGCCAGACCAGCCAGTACAACGGATTTAATGTGAAACCAAGAGAAGCCTTGGTGCAGCTGATCGTTCAGTGTGAGTAAATTCCTTTTCTATGTGTTTCAGTCTGGTAACAAAGAAAGGATTCCATTATTCTATGAGTAAAATGAAGTGACTTTTGAAATTGAATTAGGATTAAATACTTCTGCATCATTGCTATCTAATTTAACTTACAGTTTTCCATAAATCTGGTTATTATTTAGTTATTGGAAAAGAGTTGTGTTTGTGTGCATGTAAAGAATATAATGGTGTTTGTTATGTGGCTGGTTAATACCGAAGAATCAACAAACCTAATGGTTAAAAGCTGACCGTGTGGTGACTGGAAGAGACTGTTAATTCAGGTTATAATGTACTTTTGCTTTCACAGTTCATTTTCTACTTCAGGCAATTGCATAACCTGTGCCCAAATTATCCACCTATTTTAAGGAATTCCTGTGATTTAAATTGTGGAGACCTAATCACTGAAATGCTATGTTTGCATATCTGAAGTTGTAACAGTGGATTATACAATTATCTAGTAATAGAGGGATAATTCAGGCAGGCTTAGATACCGAATTTCTGGCTGACTTTTCTTAGTAAGTAAGTTTGTGAGAGTTGAACAAGGTAATTCTTTGTTTAATTCTTAAACTTTTTAAATTGAAATCATGTTTGTAGTTTGACAAAAATTGCAGATATTGTGGATTTATATTTACTTCTATAAGTAAAGTATGAATGTAGATTCATACTTTAAGTGCTGAGAAAACTGTAGTAATGTTACTGGTCGCAATATTAAAATCCTGACAAGATTTTAAAAATTCAATCTTTCAATAGTGAAATATGAACATACTGGTATGGCTTCTTTTATTGTGACTGGGATGTAATTGATAAAAAAGACACCAATAGACACAAGTGAAGTCAAATTTCATTTGATGTAGGTAAAAAAGATGCAATTTACCTGCATTTGAAGGTGATTTCATAGAGTAGGGGTGCAACCCAGCAGACCTCTTCTCAGAGTCAAGTTTCCTGCACTGACCACCAGGTTAGCCTGATGCCAGCAGCTTGTCTAATTCTAGGTAATGATGTCTCTATGTATCTCAAGAAACTCCTTTTCTTGTATTTCCACCTCTTTTGAAGAATCTGATTATGTGTCTGAGTTTGCTAGCTAGAAATACCTGGCAAATACTCTGAATATTGCTAAGTGAATCAGGGGCTGATGCTCCAGGAATATTACTCTCTGACAGTAGGTCCAACCTACATATCTACCCTAAGGCTTATTTCTGAAAAGCTAATAATGCAAGAATTCTGATAAAAGTTTTAAATTATAAATATCATAACTTTTACAGTGATTTTTAAGCATGAAAATGACATGCTTTTGCTTAATTTGGACATATATGGTACCTGTAAGGAACACTGATATGAAATATGGAATATGTTATTTCATATATAAATGCACATGGATATGCATACGTGCATACATGTGTGGTTTGCATCATTCTCAACAATTCTATCATTGTAGCTAACAAACAAAACTATTCTTTATATATTTTTGTTCCTAGAATGATATATTTTACATTGTAGCTATTAATGAAATTTGTTGAGTAAATGTAAGTTATAATAACAATCAAAATGACATATATTAATAAATATATATATATATATATCTTCACATGTTTCCTGCTTTTGACATGCCTGTTTAAATTTAAGTTTCAGGAGTATCTAAAGACTTATTGCACACAGTTTGACCTGAATGTGTCCAAGTACATTAAGGAAGAACACATAAAATTGTTGTAACTCTTTTTTTTAACAATTTTTATCAGCATGTATTAGTTGATCAGGGTGGTTTCACTGTGGCATTTACATATATGCTTACAATGTTCTTAGTTAGATTTACCCCTTTCATCTTTATCCTTCATCCGCCTCCTCTCCTTCTTAGAGCAATTTCAATAAGGTTTCATTGTTCTATTTTCATACATATATACAAAACAAATCCAACATATTCACCCTCCTTGTCCCTCTTCATCAGCCCTCTATCCTCCCCTTGGACAAAACCTGTTTTATCTTTCTGCCCTTCATTTTTTTAAAGATATACTCATTGTTTAAGGGGGTTTTGTCTTGGTATTTCATCTATGTATATGGACTTGATCTCTGAACATTAAGATTTTCTATCAGAAAACTTACATTGGCAAATTCTGGAACTGTCTATTTTACACACAAGCATACACATTTATAATTTTATTTGCATTGACATATTAAAATAAAACAGTCAATCATAATAAATAATAAAAAAACTAGCATTTTCAGGAAGAATTTCTTCCTTCTTTAGTTTTCATTTTGTCTATCTGAACAATTGCCAATCTGAAGTATTAAAAGAGCTCAGAATAACTGTATGCATGATTTTGATGAATGTAGGTTATACATGCCTAAATATACATTAGAATATAGAATACTGATCATTTTAATGTTGGTAAAATAAAAATTCCATTAGACTTTCAAGTATGTATATTAAATGAAGAGATGAGGATGTGCTTATTGTTTTCATAAAAACAAGTTATTTTGTCATATTTGTATTATGTAATTATATAAACTTATACCATTATACTATAATTTTAATTTGATGCATCATGACATCATATTTTTAATATGAGAGGTCCTTTAAATGAATTCATCTGAAGGTACTGCTTAAATTTGTTCATAAAGTGAGTGCACTTTGAAGTACATTTTCTTGAAAGTCACTTGGAGAAAGTACATACTGCAATGAATGTCACTTTTGCTGTTAAGGCTCCATCATGCATATGCACAATTGATGCACCTATAGTGTATAATAAGATATTTCTGTTAAGAGGTATAAAACATACTAAAACTAAAGATTGACAATAGTATAAAATTTTATTAAACAAATACCTTTTACCTATCTACAAATGAGATTTCATGTACTCCTTATAACACTTTTACAACTGTTCTTCCAAAAAAGAAAAACTATGAAAGAAAATAAGCAGGTCTGTTGAAAAACCCTTGTTCCTCACTTGTCTTGGTTTCTAAAGTAAGACCAAATTAGAACAGAAATCCACAAATCAGGGCTTTACTCCTTAGATTTTTTTTTCTCAAGAAATCTAGTAGAATATATATCACTTTTAGTCTAAATGAATATTCAACAAAAGTAGAATTTCATGGACTTTATGGATAAAAAAGGAAATTAAGAACAGATTGAAAAGTATTGTAACAGGTATGCTCACTACTACAAAAATAACTGAATAATTTTCTATAGTGAGCTATATAGAATTAATATATTGAACTAATGCAATTACTTCTGAGATAAAAAGCAAAATTGTTGTGAAAATAACAGTGTTAGTAGTACTGACACTAATCTAAAGCTAGTACTAAAGACAAGGTAATTATTGATGAGAGAAAGAAGCAATTTTCTATATTCACACAGAAAGATACTAAAGTCCATGTGAAGCAATTTGTAAATGAAAAGAAACAATTTTGATTTATAAGTAGAACAATAAATTAATCTGAACAGCCCTACTTATCTAGGTGTGTTTCTTATTTTCCGTAACAATTCAGTCCATCTCTTCTGAGTCTCATAAAGATGATAATGAAATGTTACCTTTGGCTAGCCTTCTATTGCTCCCTTCTCTTATTTACGCCAGGTCTTCAAATCTTTTTCAGCATTTAAGTCCTGACCACATCTCACCTCTTCCTTGATAGTTTTAAGGCCAATGCCATTAGTCCATCAATTTCAAACTCAAAGAAAAACCTCATTTTCACACACACATTAGATGATATCCCTCTTCAAAGTCATTAGTTTTTATTTCACTTCTGCCTTCATTAGAAGTCTCCTGTGATATTGCTTGCAGAGCTAGTGTGAGCCACACAAAGAAGCACCTACACAGATTATTTTTACACTGAAACATCATTATCTAAGTGAGTTTACTTCTTTCACCAACATGATATGACTTGAGTCTAGCAGCATTTGGTTTTCTTACACAAACTAAATTACCCTCATGGATATTCCAGTGACCACATAAGAAACATTAATGTTCGAAGTTATTTTCAACATGAACCGGATGATGATTGCATCAAAGCTGGTACATTTTAACTAAAAATGTTCACTATCTTACTTGCAGATTATTCTTCATAAACTGTAATATCTTAATCCTTCAAGACTGCTAATAACAAAATACCATAAACTGAGTGACTTATAAACAACAGATATGTCATATACTTCTGGAGACTGGGAAGCCCAAGATCAAGGAAAAGGGCTCGCTCTCCACAGACTGTGCATGGTGGAAATAGCTATCTAGTTCTCTGGGATGTGTTTTGTAAGCATTCAAATCCCATTTATGATAGTAGCCTAATTACCCCCCTCAAGCCCCACTTTCTAATTCATCACATTGGTTATTAGTTTTCAACTTTTACTTACTTATTTTATTTGAATTATTTTATTGCTTTTATTAAAGACAGTTGATCCATTCCTACTACAATTTAATCTCCTTGAAGTACTGGGGGGTCTAACCCAGAGTCTCATTTTTCTTACATTTTTAGCACCACAATACCCAACAAGCAAGTAGAGTCCCGGTTCAAGATCTCTGTTCTAGAGAAAACTTGTAGTTAAAACTTTATTCAGTAATAAATTATTATTTTTATTCTCCTACTTTGTAATGTGTTCTACAAGAATATAAATTGAGGACTGTTTTTAGTTTGCTAAGAAGATATTTCATATTTTCAGCACCCATTTTTCATATTTTAATATTAATGATTATTAAATTGAACTCAACATTTATTAAAGTATTCCTTTATTTGAATTAAATATCCATCTTAGTTCTTTGTTATTTACATTAGTTATTAGCAACATTAATCAACCAAACCCTGGGGCAATGTTAATATTTTGAAAACATTAATAGTTATATTTTATCCTAGCCTTCTGTACTTAAGATCTTTTTACTTAAAAAAAAAGGAAGAAACGCTGTATTTATAAGATGTTGTAAATTTAAATTTTGTACAAAATAAATTTTGAAATTATTATTTTGAATCAACATATCATATACATATTACTT